AAACAAAGCCAAACACAAAAGGACAAATATTATATGATTCCACTTATATGAAATACCTAGAATAGTCATATCCATATAGAGAGAAATCAAAATGGTGGCTGCCGGGGGCTGGGAGGAAAAAGGAATGGGCAGTTTGTGTTTAATGGGTACACAAACTGAGCCAGAGTTTCATTTTGAAAAGATGAAAAATGGTCTGGAGGTGGATGGTATTGATGGTTGCACAAATACGTAAAAGTACGTAATGCCACTGAAAAGTGCTCTTAAATATGGTTACAACAGCAAATGTTATGTCATACATATTTTACCACAATAATAGAAAGCTTAAAAAAAAAAAAAAAAGAAATGCAGGCCAGGAGCAGTGGCTCACACCTGTAAACCCAGCACTTTGGGAGGTCGAGGTGGGTAGATCACCTGAGGTCTGGAGTTTGAGACCAGCCTGATCAACATGGTGAAACCCTGTCTCTTCCTAAAAAATACAAAAATTACCTGGAAGTGGTAGCATATGCCCATAATCCTAGCTACTCAGGAGGCTGAGGCAGGAGAATTGCTTGAACCTGGGAGGTAGAGGTTGCAGTGAGCCAAGATTGTGCCATTGCACTCCACCCTGGGCAAGAAGAGTGATACTCTGTCTCAAAAAGAAAAGAAAAGCAATTTCTGACACGTGCTACAACACGAATGAACCTAGAAAACATGCTAAGTGAAATAAACTAGACACAAAAAGATAAATATTGCATAATTCCATTTCTATAAGGCACCTAGCTAGAATAGGCAAATTCTTAGAGATGAAAATAACATGGAGGTTACCAGGGGCCATAGGGAGAGGGAATGGGGAGCTATGGCTTAATGGGTACAGAATTTCTGTTTGCCTCGATGAAGTTTTAGAAATATATAGTGGTGATGGTTGTACAACACTATGAATATAATTAATGCCACTAAACTGCAAACAAAGGCAGGCAGGCAGATTGCTTCCTGGATGAGGGCAGGAACTAGTTCTCCGTGTTGGCACACTCCTGTATGCCAGGACTTTTTTATGACTTTGCACAGTAATTTTGTTTCTCTTGATTTGTTCCTTAATTAGTCCACTTCACTTTGGCCTGGGCTCTTCACCCCTTGCCTCAGTCTACCTGCCAGGACTTACTTTCACATAGTTGCTCTCCGTGTGCCTGACCTCTGGCCAAGTGCTATCAATTTACCTGTCAAATTCTCATGATTTGGACCTCATAAGCGGACCCTCGGCCCCAGGGTTCCCACCTTGACCAGGTGTCATTGCCATCTATTGATTAGAGATTTGCTCTGCTGGACATGATTCCTGACCCACTAAAACCAGAAGCAGGGGCAAGAAGCTGTTTCACTGATCCAGTTTCTAACATCAGTGCCAAACACTCAGATCTCATTTTGAAATAGATAATATAAATAAAAGGCCAGGATGTCAGCTCACTGTTTCCTAGGACTTCACCTCCATACTTCCTGTCACTGACTTCCTCCTCTGTTCCGGAGAGGGGCTGTCTGCTGCTCTCTCTCCTCCTGCAGAAGTGTCTCTCTCATTGTCTGATACCACACTGTCACCCTGTCACTGAGCCCACCTTCCCATGCACCAGAGATCTAGCCCTTCCCTGGACTTGCCCAGTTTCTTCCAGCTCTGCCTGTGTGACCCCCTAGAAGCCTCTACTCTCTCTGGCTCAGTTCCTCTTATTGCATCAGTCACCTCTGTCACCCAAGGCTCAAGGTTGGAACACTCACTCTTCCTGCTAGCCAGACCCTGACAGAGAGAGAAAAATTGTTTCTATAGGGTCAAATGAATTGATGGGTTAGAAGTTCAATTCGTGATGGGTAATTTTGTCCCAATTCTTGTGATGGGTAATCAACTGATAGAATCCACAGCAGTCAATCTAATTCATTTATTACAGATGCCCTAAATCAATCACTTTTCTTTATGCCTGGACAGGAGTGAGGTATGGGCATTTGATCAATTACTCAGTAATTACTGACACAAATAAACCCTACAATGGTCGGTTCAGTCACACACAATAACTGTACTACCTAGTCCTATTTATCCTCTGGAAATAAATAAATGGCATTTTAAGAGTCACTTTCACAGGCCATTCATGGCTGGGCAGCAAAATAAGCATCCTCCATTCCCTTTAGCCCATGAGCGGCATCAGCTGGACCTCTTAAAATAATACCTTCCCCTAAATAATGTACTATTAGTGTCCACTTACAGAAGAGGTTCCTGGGGCTCAAAGAGGTGAAGTAACCTGCACAGGATCACACAGCCAGTAGCTAGTCAAACTAAAGTTTTGAGTCGTGAGCACCTACTGCCAAGGTCCGTGGCTTCCCCATTCACCATGCTTGTTCTCTAAAAGCCGATCTGAGGACCTACTGCATCGCTGTGGCAGAATTCAGAGTAATGAGACATGGTGGAGATCCCCAAGGAATTCAGAGAAAGTAGAATTAAGAATTAAAACCCAGTTGGCATCTGTATTGGGGAGAATAAACTGGGTAATGCAGAAGACAACTCATGACCCTCTGGATGAAGCCCCTCCCTCTGTAGCCCAAAACACCCACTGAGCCAGGCATGGTGGCTCACACCCGTAAACCCAGTACTTTTGGAGGCCAAGGCTGGAAGATCACCTGAGGTATGGAGTTTGAAACCAGCCTGGCCAATATGGTGAAACCCTGTTTCTACTAAAAATACAAAAATTAGCCAGGCGTGGTGGCATGTGCCTGTAATCCCAGCAACTCGGGAGGCTGAGGCAGGAGAATGGCTTGAACCCGGGAGGCAGAGGTTGCAGTGAGTCAAGATTGTGCCCCTGCACTTCAGCCTGGGTGACAGAGAGAGATTTTGCCTTAAAAAAAATAAAAACAAACAAAAAACAAAATCACCAACTGTAACTGGGAAGAAAGCGTGGTCCCAAAAACAGTTTCTTTACTCCTGTTAGATGTCTGTCCCTTTTAGAAGGCCAACGCACTCATGAGAAGCTTCTAGAATATTCTCTCACTGGCGGATTTTTGCTATGGTTCTGCTTCTGTTTTCGTGACTATAATTAAGCCAGCTTCATTCATATAGTTACTTTCATCATGATTTCCCCTTGCAAACTTACAAACTGTTAATTCCAGGAGTCCTGTTAATTCCCAAAGCTCATCTCATCCATGCCCACCTAAAAGGGAGAAAAGCTCTTTGGAAGCTGAAAGCATCATGGAGCTATATATTTTTTAAAATACAATGCCTTAGAAACATGTAGTACTTTACTATTTGCATAAATGTTTACTTACAGAATTCCAGTTAATCCTCATAATCTTGTAAGGTTTCATATTCCCATCTTAAAAATGAGAAAACTGTGGTTCAGAGAGTCACTGTGACTCAACCAAAGCCTCACAGTGAGCTTAAGGCAGTCAGGACTTGACTCCAGGCCTCCTGAACTCATAGGCCACTGCTTCTTCCACTAGAAAACATCATCACCATCGTTCTTACGGTTTCTATGAATGGCAAATACTGGTGCACTGCGGAGGATGCTGTCTTAAAAACCTCGAAGCAAAGCAACTCCACCTTATTCTGGTTACTATCCTAGGAACTATATTCCAAATAAGTGGCTTCCTTCTATCTGCTAACTCATCCCAGCGACACCTCACTGCCCAGCTCCTTCCTCCTCTGCTGATGATGCCGGCCTAACTTAGGGAGCCTCTCTGGCAGGCTGGCACAGTGCACACAGCCCCTGGCCTGCCTTTTCCCTCTCCTTCCTCTATTTCCCAGGCTCCCAAAATGGAACACAACTGTACTTTAATCTCTCTTTCCTCCTCTGCCAACTTGCCCAGGCTCCCCCAGATGCCTCCTTACTTTAAGCAAATGCTTTGCATTGCTCTGGGAATAGTCTAATCCTTTTTTCCCTTTTTACATATCAATGCTCTAATTTATAGCAGCAGTGTTAGGTAGGAAAAAAAAGAAACAAAGAAGTTCATCTGTTTTATGTTTTGAGGGGCATGAGGGGGGCTTCTGGGGTGCTGGTAATGCTCTATTTCTGGAGCTGTATGCCGCTTACACAGGTGTGCTTACTTGGAGAGTTTTCTTAAGCTGTGCACATATAATATGTGTGGGTTTCATCTACATGCACTCGAGACTTCAGTGAAGGAGCCCAACAACGGAGCAGGTATTTTGACGGAGGTGGTGAACAAAGCATCTCTACTCAAGTCCAAGCAAAGGCTGAATGACTTCCTGGCAAGCCTCTTGTGGGAGTCCCTATACCAGAAGAAAGGTCACACTGAATTCCTCTAAGGTCTGTTTCAACTCTGAGAACAAAGGCCTGTCGGATGCTATGGGGTTAACAGTCCCACAGCAGCCCCCAGAAAGGACCGTTCATAGACACTGATGTACTCCTAATAGAGGTCTGTCCCTTTCAGAAAGACAACACACTCACGAGAAGCTTCTAGAATATTATCTCACTGGCAGATTTTTGCAATGGCTGTTTCTGTTTTCTTATTATTTAACCAGCATCACTCATATAGTTACTTTTCATCATGATTTTCCCTTGCAAACTTACAAACTGTTAATTCCGTTTGAGTCCTGTTAATTTCCAAAGTTCATCTCATCCACGCCCACTGGAAAAGAACAAGGATCTCAAGTCCATGCCTGTCTCTCTGGGCTGTCATCTCCTAAACCTCACAGGACAGTTTAGGACCCCTGATCCCTAAGTCCACGTAGAGACTGGACTGCAGGCCAGTAACTGGACCATCAAGGAGGCTCGTCCATCATGCTACAGCCCAGAATTTGCTTTATACTAGTGGCATTTGAATGGAGGCATTAGATTCCCCAAATCCTCATTCTCCTGTGGCTCAGAATTGTTGAGATGAGCATTTCCAGGATGCCCTGGCTCTCTGGTTAGCTTCTGCTGTTCTGCTTCTATTTCCCATACTCCTCATCTCCTGGGCTTCATCCCTCATAATCCACCAATCCTGACCACTGACAACACTCTCTTCCAAGGAGGTGAGCTATGAGAGTATCTTACCAGATTAGTGAAGATGTATGTGTAATAGGCTGACACCATCCCAAGTTCGGCTGCCTGCAAGGCGAAGAGAAGGAGATTAGAGAAGAAAACAACAACTCCCTTGAAGCAAATGAGCAGCAGGAGTTCCAAGTGCCTGCCATTTGTCTGGCACACTGCCCCTTGGCACTGGGAAGAACAGAACATCTTGACTGGTTCTTATGTTGCCCTTGATCTTGGAGGATAGAGCACAGAAACTCTGGTCTCAAGAGCAGGGTCTCTCCACCTCCACCCGTCCCCCTACCCCTTATGGTGGCACGCGTAGTAGCTGATGTTCTTACACACAACATACTCCCATGATTATAGCCAGATATTACCCAAACCAAAATGACTTTTAGGGAAATGAAGCAAATAATAAGACAGACTACAATAATGATCTCCACAGCTATTAACAATAACAATGGCTAACACTCACCCACCGTTTAGTATGTGCCAGGCACTCTCAAGCATTCTACATGGAATAACTCTATGAGGTTGGCACTATTATTCCTCCCCAACCCCATTTTACAGCTGAGGAAACTGACACAACAAAAGGCTAAGTGACTTGTACAAGATCATGTGTCTCATTAACGGAAAAGATAAAAGCAAATCCAGGCAGCCTAACTTCACTGCTTTTATCCAAACTATACTCCCACTTCACGACTGCGAAATTGATGGAACCACAAACACAACTCTCTTCAGGGCCCTGGCATAGATAAGAGAGTCCACAGGTTGTAGTAATGCAAATTAACTCCACTCCATCAGAGTGCAGGGGAGACTCATAAGGGTGTTCTTGAATCTGCAGTAACGTAGGAAACAAGTGACTCATTTGCAAACTTGGGTCCTTTATTCGTTGTAAGGAGTCAGTTGCCTGTGACATGCCTCTCCCTTGATCACAGCGCACCAGTGTGGCATCATTCCACAGTTGAGAATTGCTACATCAGAAGAGTCTCCCTTTTGTCTGATCATAAATACCCCTAGCCAATCTTCCCTGTCAGTGTGCCCGGCTTTGAGACAGGTGCTATAGAAACTGACAGGTAGATCAGGTAAATAACAAGTCCCACTCTCTCCAGGGCCCTCATCCCTCCTGACAGTTGGTTAGATTTTCATAATGTATCCTGCAGCCCTGGGGCACTGGAAGACCGTTTTTTTCATGACTATTGGGGTGGATGGAGTAGAAACCAGACCAAGGATGACTACATTTTTCCTCTCACATAGTGTTTAACTCCCAAGGAACTCAAATTATTTTGTGGGCATTCTTTTTTTTTTTTTCTTTGAGTCAAAGTCTCACTCTGTCACCCAGGCTGGAGTGCAGTGGTGCGATCTTGGCTCACTGCAACCTCCGCCTCCCAGGTTAAAGCAATTCACCTGCCTCAGGCTCCCAGTAGCTGAAATTACAGGCACCCGCCACCATGCTGGCTAATTTTTGTATTTTTAGTAGAGACGGGGTTTTGCCACATTGGCCAGGCTGGTCTTGAACTTCTGACCTCAGGTGATCTACCCTCCTTGGCCTCCCAAAGTGCTGGGATTACAGGCTTGAGCCACTGTGCCTGGCCATTCTTATAGGAACCCTCACAGGCTCCCTGAGGAACAGGCTGGGGGTAATTCTATCACAGTTGTTTCAATGGGAAGCTCAAGGGCAAAGGCTCGGTGATGGGGGCAGGAGTCTCAGGACACAATGGAGCTCAAGGCCTCTTTGGTGAGCTTCCTTCTTCCTCCAGGCCAAGCTCTATTTCCTCCTCCACTTTCGAGAGGATGATGTGGCAAGATGACCACCCCCATCCTATACCACACAACACACACACACACTCATGCTGTCCAAGTAAGAGTGCTGCTGTGTCTCACCCATGCCTAGACGGATGCGACCCACTGAGTGAGCTCACTGCTTACAGTGATGGGCTGAGGGCAGAGGGCCCAGGATGGGGCACAGTTAGGGGTTAAAATCCATTTTGTGAAATCTGCTGTCCTAGAGATAAAAGACAAGAGATCCTTGGTTTTTAAGGCCTGATTTCTAGGTAAACATGGAGTTCGTTGCTGGAACAGCCGCTCAATAAAGTCAGGGATTACGCTGCAAATCCTCCTGAAATCATGAGACGGCAGAGTGCTGACAGGCTCCAGGGGCTGGGCTCCCACGTGCACACGGAGTCTCCCAGAGGCCCTGTGTACTCTCTGCTCACTCTGCTTCCCATCCTTACTGAGGCCCTGCAAGGCCCTGTTGCGCCCTCCTGGAGGGAGGACTATGGAGCCCGAGGGAAACATGAGGACAGAGGTCAGGCCTGATAGAACACCTGCCTGCCTGGGCCACTGGGACGATGGCAAATGGGCAAAGGTAACAGGCTCTCCCAAAGCCTTGTTGCCCATTGATCAGTTTGGTTCCAAGGTCACAGGAGTTGGGACTAACAACAGGTGGGCTCAGGAAGGACAGCCCTGGGCCGTCAAGCAGAACAATTTGCTAATAATGATCACTATACTACAGGCAGAGCTTCTTTCGAAAGCACAGCCACAAACAAAAACCCACAAAGCACTTTTAATTAACATACCCACCATTGGCAAGGGTGCTATAAGACACCTATGTGCTGCTGGCAAAAGTGTAAACTGTTACAGCCTTTCTAAAATGCAATCTGGCAAATCATATCAGAATCCTTAAAAGCATGCACACCTTTAACTCAGTCATTCCACTCCTAGAAATTTATGCTGGGGAAATATTCATGAATACGCATAAAGATTTATGTACAAAGATGTGCACCCTGAGCATTATTTATTGTAGCAAAAGATCTGAAACAGCCTGTATCTCCAACAATAAAGTGATGGTTAAATAAATTATGGGACATCTGTATAATAGGAAATGATGCAGCCATTAAAATATTTGTAGAAAAATGTTTAATGACATGGCGAAAATGCATGGCATAGAATTAAGTGGGGAGAAAAGCGCTTACATCAAAGTTTCTGCAGTATGCCAATAATTTGGGGGGATATGTGTCTGTAAAGCAGAAAAAATAGATATCAAAATTTAACAGTGCTTAAATAGCTGTGGGTAATAGGACTGGGAATAATTTTTAGTTTCTTCTAGCACTTTCTTTTCTATACGTCCCAAAATTTCAGCAATGAACTGGTAATACTGTTAGAATAAAAAAAATAATAACTCAACATCGTATGCTGGGAGGCACGGAGGGTGGGAGGCCGGCCCGCAGAGGCTTCTACCTAGGGCTGTTCGGGCAGGCTCCAGCCACCGCAGGGCGAACCTGCGAATTCTGAGCTGCCCTCCCCATGGATGTTGGAGGGACTTCTATCTACTAAGCTGAAGCTCTCACTCCCTGTTCCCAACCTTCCCTAAAGAGGATCCCTCTCCTCCCCTGAAACTTAGAGGAGCTTTTCCACCCTTAATGACTTCATTGATCATAGCTGCAGGCATAAGAGAAGAAAGAGAAAAAGGAAAAAAGTAGAAAAATGCTCTGTTTCGGGGTGTGTGTGTGTGTCAGAGAGAAAGGGAGAGAGAAAGAAAGAGAGAGAGAATGTGAGTTGGGTATACGCACACAGACAGACATGGCTTTGGAGCTCTGGAAGATTACTATAGCAACAGGCTGAAGGGACAGCCCTCAGTACTGAGAGAACTCATTCAAATCTCTTATTAACTCTGAGACAAAAACGAGCTGGGGAGGGGCGCCTGGGAGGGAGGAAGCGAAGGAGACAATCATCTGAATGTCTTCAGCTCCTCACAGCTTGGCAGAGGTTAACGAGGAGCCCCGCTCCCCCAGTGGAAGACGGCAGGTTGTGTTTAAATGTGCAATTAAAACTGCATTAGAAGAGGCCAGTGGGCCTGGAGAGGTCAAGGGAGCCGCCAAGGAGCCTGGAAGCTGGTCCCATTCTCTCCGAGGTTCATGCCCGGTCCAGCCACCAGCTCAGGAACTGGCGTCAGGTGACTCTGATGCTGCCCAGCTATTTTCAGCTGTTTGTCTTGTGTGGGGCCCCCAGGCTCCTGACTTCTCTCTCTCTCTCGGACCAGCCTTGCTCAGAGTCCTGGTTTGCTTCCAGTGTGCATGTTCTGATGCAGGGGCTGGCACTGCCCCTCCGACTCCAGGAGCATAGGAGACACTACCTGATTTGCAGGTAAGAGTGGGCTGTGCAGGCTTGGCCCTGCTCCCCCCAGAGCTGGGCCCTGGATGCATCTGCTCATCTCCCAGGGTCTCAGTTTCTTCATCTCCGGGGTAAGACGTTCTACCTACCTCACGTCATTGCTAAGAGCTCTACGCTGGGAGATTGACTACACAGAAGCGCTGTGTAAACTATTGTGCACCACGTCAGGATTAAAGACAGAGGTGGCATTCAGCAGTACACACTGGTGTGAGGGTCCTATTGTCAAACTATGGAAACATTTCCATACCATTTGGCAAACAGCCTCTGCCCAGGCCCCTTGGGCGCCCCACCCTGGCCCCTCCTAGGAACCCGCAGACCTCTCCACAGAACCCTTACCAGGGCCCAGGTTTGGCAGCGTCACAGTGTCTCTGTGCCTACTGCTCTGCTGCCCGAGTGCTGAAAACGATATCACCCTCACCCTGCTTTCTTCTTTCAGTTTGAGGTAACTACCCATTAAAACAGGAGCACAGAGAGAGGTTTGTCAGGGTTCAGGTCCAGCCCAGGGCTCCACAGCCTAAGCTCAGGAGGACCCTCAAGGCAAGGAAGGAGGAGGGTGGGAGCTCAGCAGGGAAGGGGAGAGAGGGAGGATCCCACCTTCAGGAGGATGGTGTGGGACATGGAGGCATTGGCATGGATGATGATGGTGGCGGTCTTGTCGTCCCGGATCTCCTTGAGGAGGGGCGTGGGGTCCCGGGTGTCATCCAGCATGCGGACGGACAGCGTGTCCTTGGAGATGAGGAATTGCCGGAGCAGCTTCTCTAGGTTTAAAAGGCCTGGAGGGGAGAGAGGATGAAGCTCCTGAGGGTCCACAGAGCTGCCTCAAGAAACACCTGGGCAGAAACAGGAAGGCAAGGAGATGTGGGCTGGAAGTGGGGTAGGGGGTCTGGCCCCATCGCCAGCATTAAGGAGCCAGATCATAACCTGAGCAGGTCTGTCAGCCTCTGTGGGCTTCAATGATCCCATCTAAAATAAAAGAACATTCCTGAGCCCATCACCTCCCCTGTGTCCCTCAAGAACCTTCTTTTAAGGTAAAGATGGAAGCTCCCTTGGGTGGAATAAGAGAATTCCTCTTCCTCCCCACCACCCTCAAAAGCCGGACATCATGCACCGAGACCAAGACCTGAGTTCAGAGACCACCAGACCTGAATCTGCTTCCCCAATTCAAGAACCTCTCCATGTGGCCAGTTGTCTTGGCCTCAGTTTCCTCATCTGAGAAGTTAGAATTATCACAGCAGCCAGCACTCAGGTCCAAGGCAAGGATTACAGGAGGCCATGTATGAAGGGCTCAGGCCCGAGCCTCGGACACGATAAACCCTCATCAGTGTTACACTGGGCTCTGTGAGAGCCTTTGTTTTCATTTTGGAGGTGGAGGAGCAATTCCCTCAAGATCCCAAGGCTCAGAAAACAGATCTAGCAAAACACTTTGAACTCCTCAGAGCCTCGTGGCTGCATTAAGACAAAGTATTACCATGATCATAAGAGAACAGGCTTTGAACTGCACTCCAGCAGGCAAGAATCTGGGCCCAAAACAAAACAGAAAAAAGGGACTGTGCACTAAGTACTCCCCCTGCTCTCCTTCACTCCCTCCTCTTCCACCCACCGGCTATTTGAGGCCTAGGGCCCTGGTGGGAGGAGGGGTTCCAGAATGACGTCACTCAGACAAGAGGGTCTTAATTCTGCCTTGTCTTTGGAAAGGCATGCCAGCCAAGAGACAGTATGTGTGTATGGGTAAGGGGCGGGAAATGTGGCGGGTGGAGGTGATGTGGGGGTGCAGGAGGCAGAGTGTGGTCTCAATTCCTAAGGAAAGAGACATCGCGTAGGTGTTTGCTCCCAAAAGCAATGACAAGGGCAACATTTATCAAATGCTTATTGTGCTCCAGTTAATGTGCTACACATTTTACATGGCTTATCTCATATAAGTCCTCACAGCAATCCCATAAAGCACTATAATCCCCAGCACAGAGGAGAATCGGAAGGAGGACAAACAACTGGTCTCACACACTGGGATGGCGAGGGAAAGGTTGGCTTTCTTTTTTTGGGGGGGTAGGGACGGAGTCTCATTCTGTCACCCAGGCTGGAGTGCAGTGGCGTGATCTCGGCTCACTGCAACCTCCGCCTCCCAGGTTCAGGCGATTCTCCTGCCTCAGCCTCCTGAGTATCTGGGATTATAGGGGCACGTGCCACCATGCCTGGCTAAACTTTTTTTTTATTTTTAGTAGAGATGGGGTTTTACCATGTTGGTCAGGCCAATCTTGAACTTCTGACCTCATGATCTGCCGGCCTTGGCCTCCCTAAGTGCTGGAATTGCAAGCATGAGCCACTGCGCCCGGCCCAGGGTTGGTTTTCTAGCCAATCCAAGGCCCCATGCTGCTAGTTTCTGTACTGGCTGATGGGATGGATATTCAGCTCGGGGATGGCTTGACTACAAGCCCAGAAGACTCTTTCCTGCATAGGTTACTCACTGCCCAGGCCAAAAGGAGGAAGAGCATCTCATCCACTTCCTTGCGTTGCAGAAGGGTGACATGACTTGCTCAGCACACAGAGACACAGGGACACAGCTGGGACCAGAATTCTGATCTACATTTTCTGAATTCCATCCAACCCACTGCCCATGAGACTGGGCTGCCTCTGAGGACAAACTCAGCTGGAGGCAGTGGGCACAGTGCCCGGGAAGACCCAGAGACACGCGTCTCAGGACTTAGGGGAGGCAAGCCGATGCCTGGTGTGTGTCTGTGCTTTTTTTCACAGAATGGAGAGGGTGGTGGAGTTGGAGCCCAAGGGCCTGGCCTGATAGAGACAGAAGCTCTGGGAAGGTGCTGCCAACCCCTGTCTTCCTGTCACCTGTTCTGAGAAGGCTTTCCAGGGAGCTGGAGGCTGTGGCAGGCCAGGGAGAAGCTCTGGGAAGACCTGTTATTTATAAAGAGGCTTCAGAAACAACACAGCTGTGCAAACCACAACACTGGCCTTTCCTCTCTTCCCTGACAGGGTCTCGGTTGAGACTTGTAAAGACCCACTGCCACCGCCATCTGTGCCCCTCCCAGCCCCTCACCACCAGCCCCCACAACAGCAGCACTGATGTGCCGGGTTACTCTCTGCTGATCCTGATCCCAAAGCTCTGGATTCAAGCTCGGGGTCAGCCCTCCTTGGCTATGTGACCTTGAGAAGTCATCTAACCTCTTCAAGGATCCATTCTTTATCTGTAGAATGGGCAAAGGAGGATGAGAATTTAATGTGATCACATGAGAAAGCCCGTCAGGAAGTGAAATGCACTGTCTCGATATCACTCCTGAACTTACTCATCCCAGAAGTGCTCCAAGGGCAGGCACGGTGAGGCAGATGAAGAGTCAGGAAAGAACACCTCGGTTCAACCAGCACTTCCCGGCATGTCCTGAGTGCCAGGCACTGTGCAGACAGGACACCAGGCGGAGAAGATGGGTCACACACAGTCCCTGCCTTTAGGAGCGTAGGATCCCAGCACTAGCACCTAAGTTGATAATGAAGTTCAAATTACATCCCCGTTTTGTTTGGCAGCCTGAATTTAATCTTTTTTTTTTTTTAGAGGGCAGCCTCATTTTGTCCTACATGTAAAATGGACAGCATTTACCGCCTCTTCCTCAGAGATGATGTGAAAAGCTAACTGCTACCAGGTAGGACAAGGGTCTGGGTGCCTGATCCAAAAGACACTCTAACAAGGAGGTGGAGGAAGGCCATGGAGCTGGGGCACCCACAGTCTTAGCTATCTCCTGAGCAGGCTGTGGGTGAAGGCGCCCCACAGTTTGGAGGGGTGAACAAGGGGCGGGGGTGGCAGAGGTAAACCCCCTGGGTCCTAGAATGGTGCATGGAGAATCTTTGGAGCCTGGCTGGGAAAGAGGCCAAATCCCCTGGGATTCTTCAGACAGTCAATGAAATTCAGTGGGACGAGACAGGGCAGGCTGGGGTATGACAGTAGGATTATGCACAGCGTGGTGAGGCCTGGCAAAGGCCGCCGGGGATGCTTTATTCCTTTACAAATGGCAGGTGCACACAGCTCCCAGGGAAAGAGAGCCCCCCAGATGTCAGATAAACTGGGGATCTGTTCCAATCAATTCCCAGCCTGCTACCCCTTGGAGAGTTCTGCTCTCCTTTAAACAAAGAACAGCATCATTCTCCATCCCATACAGCATGCTCTGTGTGCTGAGACACAGGGCAGGGACAGGGGAGGGGAGGAGGCGGTGAGTCCTCTGGGAGGTCCACATCCCACTCAGAATTGCCTGTCAGCCAGTTGTTCCATTTCCTAACCTGGCACAGAACAAAGAGTCCAATGTGGGGACAAGAGTGCCAACCCCATCACTGCCAGGCAGGTTACTGTGGCAACAGCCCCACCCCTCTGTGCCTCAGTTTCCCTTTCTGTGGAATTAGGGTAATGACTACATTACAGGGTCATTACGAGGATGGGAGATACAAGGGGCTTAACAAATCTTGTTTCCCGCTCACCCCCAACTGCCCTTCACCCTGTCTTCTCCTTGAAACCTTCTCTCCATTCTTCAGCCTCCACTTCCTTCTCACTTCTCCCACCTCTTACAGGATTATCCAACCCACCAAAGGTAGCCTTGTTTTTTGTTGTTGTTGTTTTGTTTTTGTTTGAGACAGAATCTTGCTTTGTCGCCAGGCTGGAATGGAGTGCAGTGGCATGATCTGGGCTTACTGCAACCTCCACTTCCAGGGTTCAAGCGATTCCCCTGCCTCAGCCTCCTGAGAAGCTGGGGCTACAGGCACGCACCACCACGCCCAGCTAAGTTTTTGTATTTTAGCAGAGATGGGGTTTCACCACATTGGCCAGGATGGTCTCAATCTCCTGACCTTGTGATCCACCTGTCTTGGCCTCCCAAAGTGCTGGAATTACAGGTGTGAGCCACCGCACCTGGCTGACAGCCTTGGTTTTAAACCACAGAACGTATTTGAGAGCACATATATGTGCATGTATATATGTGTGTGTGTGTGTGTGTGTGTGTGTGTGTGTGTGTGTGTGTGTGTATTTATAATACAGTAAATGCATCAATGATTTCAGTGTTAGGTAGGGAGCCCACTTCAGACTTCCCTGAACATCCGCAGTGCAGGCAGGGTGCATGGTGCTTGCTGGACTGGAGTGCTGTAGAGACTGCGGGGAAAGAAAGTAACTGCATCCTAACAGGTCAGGGGAGCAGCAGTGCCAGGCAGGAACTGTCACTGTCTCACGTGAGGAGCAGTGCCTGACTTGAGTGCCTGGCCAGAGGGAGAATGGGAAGGACTGTGATGAGGCAGGCTAGCTCTTGGCAGACTCAAGGACTAAACCCAGGAGTAATGAGGAAATGGAAGTCATAGGGAGACAGACTCCAGCTCAATGTAAGGAAGAACCCTTCCTTTATGATGCTGTGGGCTGCCCATGAGGTAGTGAGTTACCCATCACTGGAAGTAGTCAAGGAAAGACTGAAGCCCCTCTTGAAGATCATTGTGGAGAGAATTAAACCAGTGGATGGAAAGTAGAACAAGAAAAACATTGACATCTTTCCAGCCCAGAGATCCACAAATTTTATGAATCAGAAGAGGATACTTTTTAATTCTCGGCAGTGGGAGAAATTTACATTAGGAAAAGTGCAGTTTAGTTACATTGAGAGAATATTAAGAGTTTTCAGGGCAGTTTGGCATTTTCCGATTGTCATTCTCCTCACCCTTATCTATTTAACGGAACTAAAGGGATTCACCAAAGGCAGCTGCCATCACAGGGGTTAAAAGCTGCTCTCTTCCCCACACCCCA